TAAATGTGGAAGAAAAGAAGATAGTAAACCATCTGTACCAAACAGGCACTAAATGGATCTTCAACGCTCCCCATTCATCGCACATGGGAGGTGTATGGGAACGCCTCATTCGAATCTGCCGGAAGATCTTAGAGTCAATGCTAGCTGAAACTCCTTATAAAACTTTGACGCATGAAGTGTTATCAACCTTCATGGCAGAAGTATGTGCCATAGTGAACAATCGACCAATAGTAAACGTATCAACTGATCCAGAAAACCCTTTCATCTTGTCACCTGCCACCATTCTTACTCAGAAAGTTGGAATAGACCATGTAGAAGATTCAGTAGGAGAAATTGATACAAAAGACCTTTTGAAAACAGAATGGAAACGTGTTTCTGCCCTCTCAGAAATATTTTGGAATCGTTGGAAGAAAGAATATCTGCACACACTCCAAGAACGTAGAAAATGGTGTTGTGCAAAACCTAGTCTCACTGAAGGTGATGTTGTGTTATTGAAAGACAGAAGTGTTTGTCGTACACAATGGCCATATGGAATTGTTGTAAGAGCTATCCAAAGTGAAGATGGCAAAGTAAGGAAAGTGGAGTTAAAGGTTATGAGAGATGGAAAGCCAGTTGTGTACACAAGACCAATTTCAGAGTTAATTCTTTTGGTTTCTGGTGCTAAGTAGCTATTTTTTATTTGAACAAGTCACATTTCAGTTCCTATTTGTCATTTAATCAGTATTAGAGTAGTGATATCAAATTTGTTGATATCAGGCAGGGAGTGTAAAGGAATCAAGGATTCCTTGTTAGATATTATATATATAGAATTTAGATCATCAAGAATTTATTTGATTTAATGTATTAACAAGAGAATAATTATTTAATTTCATTTAGTTTGTAACGTTGGCTACAGTGACGTTAGAGTTGTACGAACGCCCTACAAAAACGCATTGTTGTGAATCCGCGGAGCCCCTCTAGAGAGCCACGTGAGACGCCTTGTGCTGCGTACTTTTAAATTATTCTTGTTTTATGAAGATTTGGGCTAGCCACACTCTTTTCACCACAATCACGTGCACGCTCACGCGTACGTGCATGTTGTCATCTTGCAAGTTGGATACACTGCTCATACCTACCAGCTTGTGAACATGACAATATAGGTTTAACTGACTGCTAGTGTTTTACTGGAGGCAGTACAGCCACTATGGAGATTTTTCTAAATTCAACAGTCACAGAGAACTTCGAACAAATATCTGGTTTCTCGAAATGGCACAGAGAGAACAGAAATATGGCGTCTTTACCAGTGGTTAAAGCAATGTGACACCTCTCTTGTGACAAGAATTGGGCAGGTGCTAAACATATTGAGTTGCCAGATGCATTCCTCCTACCTTGGTTATCTTTATGCATACTTATAATGGGTTTCCATAGCACAGCACAGTCCAACATAAACCATCAAATGGAATCTATATTTTGCAAAATGCTGTTAAAAAAAAGGAAAAAAAAATCAGTACAGTAGAACAGCTAGCCATCAGCCGCGGCCATTCTCATTACGTCATTGGAGTTTAGTGGTCTGTCTCGCCTCCGATCACGAGACCGCTTTTGGTTTAGCGGTTCGTCGTGTGACACCCTAAATGCCACCTGTTTCAGGCTCTAGCTTACTACCCAGGAACATGTCTTACTGTATGTTCAATAAGCCCTAATGGCAAGGAGCAGAACCCAACGAGTTCCTACAGAGCAACCTTCATGGAATATTACACCAGTACACTTACAAAAACATCATAATTATAGATGATATGGACTAACATCTTGTTGCAAGACCTGTTAACATTACATGGGCTGAACAACCATGTTGATTTTCCTACCCATATCACAGGCTCCTCATTGGACCCTGTCATCTCTGACTTTCTCGAAAGAACAGTTAGCTGCTGTAGTAAAGGAGCAGTGGGCTCTTTAGATCATTATGCCATATTTAGCATGAAGGCCACTCATAAGAGCCATTTGGTGTTGGAACAAGGGCTGCTGGACAGGTTTTTGCAGTGTCCTACAAAACATTGTGTGGGACTCCATTCTCACAGATATAATACACAAGCCATTAGACAAAAATTACATAACATATCACATAAGGTTAAAGTAGATGAGCCTTGCTTTAGGCACACATCCAGACTTGCAGCTGTGAAAAAGCAGATCTGCCTTGGTTTTGGCACATGCAGACTTGCAGCAGTAAAAACAAAGCTCTGTCTTGGTTTTGGCATATGCAGACGTAGCAGGGGGAAAAGGCAGAGCTTGGAATCGTTTTAAATATTATCCATCTAAAAAAAAAAAAAAAAAAGTCAACCATAAAACTGCCTGCAACAAAATGAAACAAGTTAAAAAAATGAGCCATAGAGCAGTGGAGACAGTCTCTATATAAAACTTACCGTTCAATCTGCAGCAAAGACGGGTAGAGCTTAGTCAATCAGCAACATGGCCTCATGTCTCAAGATTGCATTCCATCACTGTCTTAGCCAGATGGAAAAGTAGTGACATTTTGTCTGGATAAAGCTGAACTACTTGCCTCCTCTCAGAAGCTTCAGGTTTTTGAAACTGACTACACACTTACTCAACTTCCATCACTGATAAATCAGTAACTAAATCTGTGTTGATGAAGTCGAACATCTTAAGACTGAGGTTGAGGGGATCGTCTGGTCATTTTTTGGCGTTTTATTTTTGCTTTTATGAAATAAATAGCTCAGTTTATCATAGTTTTTGAAAGTCCCCGACCCTTGTAAGAAGGAAGGCTGAACACGACCTTGATATATTTAAATATTTTAAAAGAGCAAACAATCTAAAACCCTAAAGTATAGATAAAGCATCTATACACGCTTCTCCTCGGGATTCCAACTACACTTACCCTCCCTTAGGCTCATTTGCACAACGACGCCACATAAACACATACATATACTACTGTCGCTCCTTTCCCCATTTTTTTTTTAACACAGCATCCCTTCATACACAAAACACTCGTTCCCGAACGTATTAATCGGGTGGTGGTAGTGAGCTTTACACCCCTTTAAGGGCCAGGTACGAATATTAATTAGCAAACGCTACAATGATACCCGTCCGACCCGTACTATATGTTGTAAAACCTCATTAGAGCAACAATAATAGGTAAATAATAGATAATTATATCATATACAATTATTTCGTACATGATTTCATATCTAAAATGTAAAATAAACGAAAAGGAAAAAAATTGCAATGTTTAGGTCCTTTACATTTTTACGCATAGCACACGCATTTTCAGTCCGATTTTAACGTATCACAGCTCATTTTGTAGCTGAATCATAGATCTATTACATGTTGCAATAAGGATTTGCAATATTTTCATGTGTGTATTATGAAAGTGACATGTTTTCAAGATCCCTTTATAGGGCGTCGAGGGTTTCGTAAAATATTCAGCAAAAATGAAATCATATTGGCTGTATTTTTTTTTTTTGAGAATTTTTAAAAATGGTTAATGAAGGCCCATAGACCCCACAAAACACTGCCACCCTACGACACTATACGTAAGATTTTGAGAAACCGTTACGTGCTAGCAATGTCTACAAAATTTCGGAATGCAGGTAGATGATAGAGGATTA